CAGCCTCCAAAACTGTGAGGAGTTAAATTCCCATTGTTTAGCCACCCAGTCTATGGTATTTTGCTATGGCAGCCCAAGCTGAGTCATACAAACACCCTATGATGATAGAGGCAGAGAAGGGAGTGATGCCTCTGCAAGCTGAGGAATGCCAATGGTTGATGGCCACCACCAGCAGCCAGGCAAAGGCAGGGAAGGATTCTACCCAGAGTCTAAGAGGGAGCACTGCCTGCTGACACCTTATTTTGGACTAATAGCCTCCAGAATTATAAGAGGATAAACTTACGTTGTTTTAAAACACCTGGTCTGTCGTACGTTATTACCACACTCTAGGAAACTAATATAGTATCACTGTAAGGTTGGTGGAGGAAGGTTGGAAATGGGTGGGAGATAACTGAAGGTCTTTCTTTTTTTTTGCCTTATCGCAAGTCATAACTGTGGTTAGGAGCCTGTGGGATCTGCAGGTTAGTCAGAAGTGAAGATAAATGCACTCCAAAATTATAAGTTATGGGAAGGAATTCAACTTTCCAAAGGTTACTTTATATCTAACATTTTAAGAATCTGTTATAAAAAATAAAGTGTACTGCCCAGCCCGTGTGGCTCAGTGGTTGAGCGTCAACCGAAGAACCAGGAGGTCATAGTTCGCGTCCCAGTCAGGGCACATGCCGGGATTGTGGGCTTGATCCCCAGTAGGGGGCGGGCAGGAGGCAGCCAATCAAAGATTCTCTCTCATCATTGGTGTTTCTATCTCTCTGTCCCTCTCCCTTCCTCTCTGAAATCAATAAAAATAAATAAATAAATAAAATAAGGAATTTCAGGAAATAAAGTATACCTTGGTCTTAATAGGCCAAAATTCCTGTCAGGAAATGGGTTGTGATTTCCTTGCCCAAAGCATTTCATTTAATAACCTACCTGATAAGTGGGGAATAGTTGTGAGCCAGGAAGCTCCCTAAAATTGGAAATTTAACTCAAATAAGCAAGGACAACCTGGGGGATGGAAGAAACACAGTCCTATTTTTCATGTTAAAATCAGGGAAAGATTTAAAGCATCAGGCATTGCAGGACTTCTCAAGTCAAGGATATGCATGCATTTATAATATTTTTCATGGATCAGGAAGAGAATGCACATACGGCCTTTAAAAATGTGTGTGAATAAACATCTATGTGACATATGGCAGGGAATTGTGATCCTGTTAAACACTTGCTGTGCTTGGCAGGAGCAAAGAGCTAGCATGCCTGCTCACTTAGTTCTTCCCACCCCCTCAGATGTGAGTCTTAGCAGGTGGGAGGATCTGGTGCATGCTTCATGAGGTCCATATAGGAAGAAAGCATTGCCCACAGCTTAAGCTTTGTCCAATACCAACACAATGTCGGGCATGAACAGAGGGTATACTTTCCTCTGAGGGTGGGGCCAGAAAATGTGTGGGAGATGTACAGTGCCCTTCTAGCTGCTGAGGAGCAACTGCATTGATGTGTTTGGAGGGCTCTGTATTTCATTGAGATGCCACACGCCAAATTAAACCTTCCTCCACCCTGTGGCCTCTGCCCTCGATGGTCAACTTCAGAACAAGTCACCTTTAGGAACTGAAATGCCTGGGGCCCACAATCCTCACCCGGAGGCTGGGAAGGCTCTTTGGGCACACGCTCTTTCCTTTGCACTGGATACTGTTCATCTCTCTGCTACTTCATCTTTCAGGTCCCAGCTTACACATCACCTGCTCAGGAAAGATTCACCGATCTCCATGTTCTTCTTCTTCTTAATATTTAGAGTTTTGCACATTTGTAGTAATTTACTCAGTTTTGTTTATTACCATCATTTTTATTTATCACCACTGTTTTTCTCACTGGATTGTATGAGTTTCTTTTTTGTTCACTGCAGTTTTCCTAGTCTGACACATAGTAGACATTCAATAAATACCATTGACTAATTGGAAGTCCACTGTTCTCCTACCTGAAAAATTGCTGACTTATAGTTCATTCTCAAAAAAACAGAACCCTCAAGAGAGAGAAGGTACAAAGGGAGAAAGGAAGGAAGGTGGGGAAGGTAGCAGGAAGAGAGATAATTGTATGGAAAATGAACAAAGGCTACAAAGAGACAATTCATAGAAGAAATTAAAATAGCCAAGAAATATACAAAAAGATGCTCATTTAGAAATGAAAATTAAAAATAATATTTTTAATAATCATTGTTAGCAAGGATTTAGGTAAGAGGGTGCTCTTATACTCTGTTGGTAGTTCAAAACTATGTCTATACTTATAGTTTAATAGGAAAAAAATAGAAACCACTTAACATCATCCAGTAGAGAAATTATTACATTTTACTACATTCCTGCTATGGATTCCTTTAGCTATAGACATTAACAACAATGAAAATCCATGTAAAAACATTTCTTAAAAAGGAGATTGCAGCCCTAACCAGTTTTGCTCAGTGGATAGAGCGTCGGCCTGCGGACTGAAGGGTCCCAGGTTCGATTCTGGTCAAGGGCACCAAAAAAAAAAAAAAAAAAGGAGATTGCAGAACAATATGTATAATAATCCAATTAAGTAAAAATATAGTCTCCAAAGAAAAAGGTTTCAAAGGATTCACACCAACTATTTATAATCATAATATATAATATTTTTTTAAAGGTAAGAGTTCCTTCTTATATTTTTATTGATTTCAGAGAGGAAGGGAGAAGGAGAGAGATATAGAAACATCAGTGAGAGAGAATCATTGATTTGCTGTCCCCTGCAGCCAGCCACCTATTGGGAATCCCTGCAATCTGGGCATGTGCCTTTGACAGGAACCAAACCCAGGACCCTTCAGTCCTCAGGCCAAAACTCTATCCACTGAGTCAAACCAGCTAGGACATCATCCTTACAAATAAAAGCCTAAATGGTCATCACACCGTGATGTCCTCACACCATCACAAGACAGCTGGGCGCACAGCAGGCGTGTGCAGGTGGGTGGGGCTGGGCTTGACAGCTGCGTGCCTGGGAGTCCCACCTCCTCCCCTCTCCGCGGGGTCCTGCCTCCAGCCTACCTCTTTGGGGCAATCCATTGAGGAGCCCCGGATGGGTAGGTAGGGCCTACTTCTTTGGTGTGATCGATCACCAGGGCTCGCGCACTGTGACAGGGCACAGGCCAGGCTGGGGGACCCTCTCCGCAAGTGCACAAATTTTGTGTACCAGGCCTCTAGTAATATATAATACTAGCCTCTAGTAATATGTAATACTGAAGGCCGGATGCATGGATTCATGCACCAGTGGGGTCCTTCGGCCTGGCCTGTGGGGATTGGGCCAAAACCAGCTCTCCAAAATCCCCCCAAGGAGTCCCAGATTGCAAGAGGGCGGAGGCCAGGCAAGGAGCCCCACCACTGCATGATCAGGGCCGGGGAGGGACCACGGGAGGGCTCCAGGGTGTGTCCAGCCCATCTCCCCCAGTCCCGACCAGCTGGACCCTAGCAGCAAGCTAATCTACTGGTCGGAGCGTCTGCCCCCTGGTGGTTAGTGTGTGTCATAGCGACTGGTCGAACGGTTGGAGGGACAATTAGCATATTAGGCTTTTATATGTATAGATACTAACTAGTTGGTGTGAATCCTTTGAGACCTTTACCTGTGAGGAAGTATAAATGGGGGGTTTACTTTTTACAATAAATATATACTGCTATTTTGAAAGAACTTCATTGAGTATGATTGACATAAACTGGATGTATTAAGTGTACAGTTTGTTTTGACATCATAAAATCTGTGACATCTGTTTTGACATCTGTGAAACCAACACCACAATTAAGATAATTTATAACATCCGTAAAAGCTTCCTTTTGTCTCTTTGCAATTCCTCCTCCTTTTCCAAGCCAACCCATCTCCTAGCAACCACTGATTTACTTTCTGTCACTATAGTTTCCATTTTCTGGAATACTATATAAATGAAATCACATATAGACTTTTTTTCAGGCTTCTTTCACTCAACATAATTATTTTGAGGTTCATCCATGTTGATGCATGTATCAAAAGCTTAGTCTTTTTACTGCTGAGTTGTATTCCATTGTATGAATCTATCATAATTGGTTTTATCTATTCACCTGTTGATGGACATTTGAATTATTTTTAGTTCTTGTCTATTACAAATAAAGAAGCTATGAACACTGTGTACAGGTCTTTGTAAGGCCATATAATTTTTCTCCTCTTGGGTAAATAGCTAGCAGTGGAATGACCTAAGATTGGTTTATGTTTAGTATTTTAAGAAGTTCCAAAGTGCTTTCAAAGTGGTTGTACCGTATTATATTCCCATGAGACGGTATGGGGTTGCCGCACTAAATGAGTGGTCTCTTCACCATCATGACGTGAGGTAATGACTAACCATCAGCTTACCCGTGTAGTTCAACCAGAGACTGGCCAACTAGAAGGGGTCTAGACCTTTTTAGTCTCGGATTCTTCTGAGAATCTGATAAAGGTCACAGTCCACTTGGAGTATAGGAACACACACACACACACACACACACACACACACACACACGCACACACATCATCCACGTTTGAAATGCCTACGGCCTGAGTAAAAGCTGGGATACTTGGGATGGAAAGCAAAAGGCTGGAGTTCAGTGTGTTGAAAAGCTTACAATCGCTGGGAACTGGTAAGAAGGGGAAAGAGAAGATGATGCCCAGGTTTTAGGGACCAGGTGATGGTGGTGACAACAGTCGCTGCCAGTGAGTTGCCTACGGGACACAAGGTGAAGCTGTTTGGAAAGTGGTGGTCATTGTACCTGCTCTGGGCGGAGATCCAGATTTCTGGCACAACAACATCCAGGCGCAGGTGAACTACCGGGAGCAGCTGTAATCCCCAGGTGTGGTCAATAAATTCCTACCTTTCAGATGACTCTCTTCTACAACGCACGGAAAAACACCTTCGCCGCCTCCCTTAAGAAAGCCCCGCCCAGAATTGCGCAATCGCGTCAATCTTCTGGACAAAGCGCCGCCTGACCGTGTTGCGCATGCGCATTGTCCTAACTGCGGCCGCTCCCTTCTCCGGGCGTCGGTCTCCTTCCCTCTCACGGCCCCGCCCAGGCGGCTGCTCGTGACCTGCCTGGGCGCAGGGAACGAAAAGCCGGAAGGGGCAAGACGAGTTCATTAACCATGGGGCTGTTTGGAAAAACCCAGGAGAAGCCGCCCAAAGAGCTGGTAAGGGCTACGGTGGCGGCAAAGGAAGGGGTGGATTTGCGTGGGGCGCAGTGGAGCTGGTACAGCGACTGGACACTCTTCCACCCCGACTGGCCAGGTACCGCTGGGCCGCCATTTCCGGGGCTTCCCACTCGACTGAGGGGCGGGAGGAAGCGTCTCTAAGGAGACGGCTGTGGCCTAAGAGAGCCCGCTACTCAGCACTCACAACTCCAGGGCGCCGAGGGGGGGAGTGAGTGTCGCTCAGCCTCGGCACAGGGCGCGGACGCAGCCACGTAGCCCTGACTCTGAAACCCCTTCCCGGCGCTCGTTGGTTCAGTCCCGCCCGGACCCTTTCCCGGGCGCAGGCCCCGCCCTCCTACTTCCGCCGGCAACCAGCCCTCGGACCTCTCGCGCGAAGATCCCGACACTGCCGACCCTTCCCCGCCGGCTCTGCTGCGCGGCGGGCTCTGTTTTCCCCGTTCCCTGCCCCATGGCATCATGTTGTCCCGACACAACCATTATAGCAGAACTGGGCCCAGAAGGTTGGTGCCGAAGGTCGCTGACCCTGGCTTTGAATTCTGATCTGCCCGCTCACTTAGATACAGTGTAATGGGTAACAGTGCCCTGCAGGGTCCAGTCTACCTCAGTGTGAATCCTGGTTCCCCACCTGTCAGACTTGCCGATCTGTTAAAAGTTCACTGTCGGTGCCTTCGTCTTGTTTGTCAGGTAGAAAGGATAATAGTAGGACTTGAGAGCCATTGAAGGTGAGAGGATGTGAGAGGCCCGCTACCTGCGCACTCCAATGCTTGTTTTAGTCGTGCTGGCGAGGGTTCATTGTTTATAAACTACAGCTTACTGTCTAAGTGCAGACCAATAGCACCAGCGTCACCTAGGAGCTTCTTGGGAAACTCGGGCCCTACCCAAGACCTGATGAGTAATAATTTGGATTCTGACAAGATCCCTAAAATCCTTTATTTAATAAATCATCTCACCCATTCCTCTCTGGCAGGCACATTTTAAAAAATATATATTTTATTGAATTTTTTACAGAGAGGAAGGGAAAGGATAGAGAGTTAGAAGCACCGATGAGAGAGAAACATCAATCAGCTGCCTCCTGCACACCCCCAACTGGGGATGTGACTGCAAGCAAGGTACATGCCTTTGACCGGAATCAAACCTGGGACCCTTCAGTCTGCAGGCCAACGCTCTATCCACTGAGCCATACCGGTCAGGGCTGGCAGGCACATTTTAAAAACCAATGTGCATCATGAAGTTGCTGGCGTATAGTGTGTTCATTTTTATTATATATTTTAATCACCGATCATACGACAGTAGGTACTCAATAAATATTAATTCCCTCAGGAATTACTCCCTGTAAATACTGTTTCACTCCCTGTGAAATAAAAATTGTGGAGCTTACATGAGGTAAGAGTGTATTGCGCTTGCCAATATAAAGCACTACCAGTATATAGATGCACATTTTGTGGCATGTCTGTATTATAAGATGCTTGTTGTTTTAGAAGTGTATTTTTGATTTTAGGAAAAGGTCATTAACCTTCATTGTTTGGCCTTAGCTTTGCCATTCATAAAATGAGATATGATTCTGGGGAAACAGGCTCATTACTATTAAACTGATCTTTAGCTTCTGTATTATTTGCATAACACTTAGGCTATTTTTAAGTGATAAAAGTAATTGCTGAGAACATGATGTCAGTAAACTGTTCCAGTGAGTTAACCTACCTTGAAAAATAAGTTAACACTAGAAAAATATCAAAATTGATGCAAATTTTTAAAAAATTTGCCTGCCAGAGGGCAATTATAAAGATGAAATAGACAGCCAGGGAAATTACCAAGCAAGTAAGATAAGCATTACAAGAACAAGTCTGGATTGGGTACCACATATGTAGTTACAGGAATTCAGAATTGGAGTGATCACCCCCACACTGGGGTAATCAGAAATGATTTGGCTCTTCACTCTCATGTCTTCCACACACCTCTTGCCTGTGTGAGTTGGTTCTTGACTATTTAGTATTAGATTTTTTACTTTAACTGGTGCTGGACATCGTCTGCCCAGCATTTTCTTCAAATTCCTCTGCACAGTCCTCCAAGCTTCCCTTTCGGTTCTGATTATATCTTGTTCGAATTTGTCAGAAGAGTGCCTGTGTTTACTTTAGGTTCAGCTTCTACCGAGCCCCCTTTATGCCTTATGACTTATGACCAAGCAAAGTGTTTTGTCACCTGCTTCAGTTATTCAGCATAGAGTTTGTATTTCCAGAAAGTGCCAATAGAGCAGGGATGAGAATCGCTTTTTTCTCTGTAGAGCTGCTGACACGCAGACACTGTACTGGGAGCTGAATATGAATAAGAAAACAGGTATTGTCTGATATTTTAGTTTTTGGTTGTTGGTGTGTTTTTTTAAGAGGGAGAAGGGGAAAAAATCTTATGTTCAACTTTATAAAAGAAGCTAGGTGCCCGACCGGTGTGGCTCAGTGGTTGAGCATTGACCTATGAACCAGGAAGTCACAGTTCGATTCCCGGTGTGGGGCATGTAGGAGACAGACGATCAATGATTCTCTCTCATCATTGATGTTTCGATGTCTCTATCCTTCTCCCTTCCGCTCTGAAATCAATAAAAAAATATATTTAAAAAAAAATAAAAGAAGGTAGGTAAAAATTTTAAAACAAAATAAGAATATTGACAGAGAGAGAAGAAAAGTTAGAGAAAAAAGGAGATAATTTACTAAAGGCTGTAGTCTCAGCTGGACACCTTTTGAGTTAGTATAAATTCATGGTACCCATTCCACTGGGGACTGGAAGATGAGGGCATGCGGGTCTTGGTCCCAGCACAGGAAAAACGGGCCAGGTGTAGCCATGCCACACCATCATGGTTGTCATTTAGGTCTTAAGCCAGGTAACAAGTTAGGTCAGGCAAGTAAGAAAATTATGGGTGATGGTCCCAGAGCTCTGATACAGTACAGCACAGAGTAGGTGCTAAATACTAGTAAATATCGAGTGATGAATGAGTATCAGAATAAGAGTAAGTAAGGTTTAAAGTCAAGCAGTCCTAAAATGAGTAGTGTTCAAGGGACACTCGGAGGAACATTAGCTACACAAGAAGCCTTACAGACTAAAGTCTTTTTCCCCAGGCATCTCAGACACTTTGATGAAGACATCCTCGTAGTGAAACTTGTCCTATCTTAAACAAAAAAGTGTTCAAGCTGACTAGATTGGGCCAGCTTAGGATGAAGGAACCTTGTAATTCATTTAGAAACCTGTCACTCTCTTGGGATGGGAAGCAAGAAGACATGAGATTGTACTAGAAAGAGATACTTCTCTTGGAGTTGAGGTTCTGTTGGAAAATTACTGTTTTTACTCGGGGACTTCACTGATTTAGCCTTTGAGTAGAGTTGTCTCCTTCCATGGCATCAGAATTCTGAAATCATCTTACTAACTTATAACTTAGACTGGGTCATGATTCATGGTTGTGGGGCACTAATCATAAAAGGGAAGAAAATGAGAAGGGAATATGGAGAAAAAGATAAAGCTTCACTCAGTTTATATAACAAACATTTATTTTGTTTTTTTCTTCATTTTTAAATGTTTATTTTGGTGTGCATTGGGTTGGATACCAGGTTTATAAAACTGTATGAGAACTTCAGAGAATACCACATTTACTTATATTTTAGGTTAAATACAGCAACAGCAAGGAATAATAGAAGTATAAGATCTGTGATGTCACAGTGGAGGGAGTGATTAACTGTTCAGAGTGGCAAAGTGATTAACTGGTCAGGCAGGGTATCAGGTCTTGTCATAAGAGGTGTAGCTAGGTGGACGGGTTGGTGTAGGATAGGAAAGGGGAGGCAGTCCAAGCAAAGTTAACTGCATATACAAGGTGTGGAGGTGTGAAACAGAGCTTGGAGGAACCAGAAAAAAGTTCAGAGTGGTTGGAAGAAGAGATACTGTTATATGGAGTGGGATGCAGGAGTGAGGGAGAGGTAAGTTAGAGGGCAGGTTAGCAAAGGGCCGTGTGCCATGCCTATGGGGAGCATTCATTGATTTGGAGTAAGAATTAGAGGGAAGAGACTTAGGTATGGAGGCCAGTTAATGACCCTACTGAGAGATGATGTGGATTTACAACTAAGTGAAAATGGGGATAGAGAGGATAAGGATGAGTTTTAGAAATATTTAGGATATACAGTTAGAATTTGCTCATCTATTGGATGTGGGATGAGTGCAAAAATCACTATTAGGTTTCTGTTTAATCCCACCCTTAATCAAACCTACCTTCCCTCTGAGGTCCGTACCATGAACTGAACTTGAGATTGAGATAATTCAGGAAAAGAGCAGGTTTGATGGGATGGTGATGGGTGGAGGGGGAGGAGCCACAAAGCTCAGTTTTAGGCAGAATTCAGGAGATGAGGGAAGACATTAGAGAGTGGTTTATCCTGGGAAAATATATTTCTTTTCTACTTTGCCTACTCGGCAAAAGTGTAAGCTTGAGAGAAAGGATCATGTTTTTCTTTGTCGTCCACTGGGCCAGCATAGTGTTGAACTCTCTTAATAAGAATAAAGTGCCTATCAAATATTGGATTGATGAACTGAAGTACAGTTGGGGAGAGAATATGTGTACACATTTGAAGGACAGCCTAGTTGACCATCTCCTATGTACCCATCTGAGAGTGATCAGAATAGACAAACTCTGGCCTGAATTCACTTGTATTTGTTGCTTTCGGCTAATTTCTAGTTTTACATATGTTTTAAATCTTGAAGGATACACAAAATCCTAGTTTACAGAGATTGCCTTTAGGGAGAGGAGCTGGATAGGTGAGGGTTAAAGGTGGGAGAACAACTTAATTGTCACTGTATATTCTCTTGGTCCCCTGCTGTAACAAAATACCATAGGCGGGGTAGTTTATTCACAGCATAAATTTATCACAGTTCTGGAGGCTAGGAAGTCCAAGATCAAGGCACCCACAAATTTGGTGTCTATTGAAGACCCCATCCCTAGTTCATAGACCGCC